GAGTACACCACCAGGATGATGGAGGCGCCTCCTCTATGAAGCTTCTCCACAGAGACCCCAATACCCGTGATTGCTTATGGATTATCTACTCCAACTTACACTATTACCCCTCAACAATTTTAAGGTAGGGGCATAGGGCTCTCTGTTCGTCTTGTTCTCCATCGGATTCGGGGAGGATAAGGCCCCATCACTGAAGCTCAATGGCTTAATTCAATCCCAAGCCATTTCCCCGGCCCTTTTGTCGGGTACCTCTGCCCATTTTGGGTTACTACTCTAGCAGTCATGATCCCACCCCCCACTGGTGGCGAGGCGCTCAAGCGCGTCCAGGACGACCGCGCGGCTAAGGCTGCCAAGAGCCTTTGAGCAAGGCGGATATTGTTTTGAAAGCGGGGCTTCTCGGCGGGGCTGACAGGATCAGCCCCGCCGATGTGATAGGGTTATGCAGGCGTCTTGTTGGGTTGCATCGGTTTTGTTGACGGGGATGTTCTACGCTTTGTTATGTGGGGTTTTGTGTTGTTTTCATTCTGGTACCCGGGACGGAGATCAGTTTAGGAGCGCCCAAACCCAAGCATCCAAAGCGCCCCTTTTCCGGGCTGCCAGTCATTATCGCTAGCCTCCCTAACTTAAAAATTATCCCGGAATTCCTTAAACTCAGAACAATGGCGCTCTATAGGTCAAGGAGCCTTCCCGGATAAAGCAGCCTAAACACTCTTGCAAAAGCGACAGGACCACTTAAACGCAATAAATGCCCCCAGAACCCGAAAACCCGAGACCCCCCAAGCCCTAAAGCCCTCAAACCATGAACCCTGAACCCTGAAATCCAAAAAGCCTTGACAAAACCTAAAGCCCTAAACCCTAAAAGTCTAAAACCCGAAAAGACTTAAGCACTTAAACCGAAGCTGCCAACATCGCTTCCGGAGGCCCCGTTGTACGGAGAGCCGCAGAAAGCATCGCGGGGCTTCGAAAGCCCGGAAACTTTTCTTTTGTATAATCGGATCCGTTGGGGTTTAGGGGAGTTAGGGCCTAGGATTTAGAGAATATTCTCGGATCCTTAACCCAGACCACCGGAAGGATCTAAAAAAACAGATCCCCTAAGGGGGTTCCTTTAAAATACCCTTTAATAGTTAGTGGTAGGGTTCCAAACTAGGGGATCTACTCTTTAGATCCTTCCGGGGGTCTGGGTTGTTTGCAGCCTCAATCCCGCAGAGGACTGGAAGATTCGGTGGATGGTGACTGAGCTTTTTCAAGAACATCAACATCCGAAACGTTGCACCGTCTCGGTGGGGGTGAAAAGGGAACGACATACTCGTGGTGAGGTACTCAAGTGGGCGTGACCCTAACCTTTATGAACCACACCCTAAACCCCAAACCCTAAACCCCAAATCCTAAATCCTAAACCCTAAATCCTCAATCCTAAACCCTAAACCCTAAACCTTAATCCCTAAACCCTAAACCTTAAAACCCTAAACCCTAAACCCTAAACAGGTAAAGGGTTTCAGGAGGCCTTTAACGTAGCTTAAGG